CATAAATATGAAGTTAATAAATACAAACATATATAAAGTAGTCAAATACAAAATAGTTGGGTAACACTAGCAGTTGGGAAGGTGAAGAAAGGCTTCATGCAGAAGATGGTGCTTGAGCTGTATCTTAAAGGAAAGAGAGAGACTTTGAGAGTATAGATGGACTTAAGGAGTAAATGCTTTCCAGGCATTTTGTACTGCACTGGTCATACAGTAGAAAAGCATGGGGATGGAATATCAAGTGGAATGAGCAGAGAGCAAGCCAGTTTGACTGGACAGTAGAGTATGGGAGGGGAATAATGTCTGATGAATCTGGAAAGATAGGCCAGGCTAGATTTTGCAGGGCTTTAAAAAGTAAACAGGGAAGTTTATATTTTCTCCTAGAGGCACATAGAAAGCTACTAGAATTTGAGTAGGAGAGTCACATGATCAGATCTATGCTTAACTAAAATTACTTTGGCTGCTGTGTTTATGATCATCTAGAATGGGGATAGACTTGAGGAACGTACAGTAATTTAGGTGAGATGTGATGAGGGGCTGAACAAAGGTAGTGATTATGTGAGTGGAGACAAGGGGTCAAATGTTAGAGATGTCAAGATTTGGCAACTGATTTGGATATATGGAGTGAGGAAGAGTGAGCTGTCCAGGATAATTTCCTAGGTTATAAACAGGAGGCTGAAAGATGTTGGTGCCTTTCACAGAAATAAAGAAGTTTGAAAGAGGAGGAGGGTTGGCAGGGGAAAGACAATGAATTCAGTTTGGGGTATGTTCTAGTGCTGAACACAGTGCCTAGCACATAGTAAGCACTTAATAAATGTTTATTGACTGACATATTCAGTTTATGATAATAACAAGCATTTATATAACACTTTAAGGTTTGTAAAGCACTTTACAAATAATATCTCAGGTGATCCTCACAACAGTCCTGGGTGATAGAAACTATTAGTATCCTCCTATTATAGATGAGGAACTTAAGCAGACAAAGGTTAGACAGTGACTTGCCCAGGATCACACAGCTAATCAATGTCTGAAGCTAGATTTGAACTCAGATCTTCTTGACTCCAGGTCCAGTACGCTATCCACTGTGTCATTTGAAGTATCCAATGGGCCATTGGTGATACAGGACTGGAATTCAGGAGGGAAAGGCTAGATTTATAGATATGAGAGTCTGCATAGAGATAGTAGTAGTTAAATCCCATGGAAGCTGATGTGGTTAACAAAAGAGTATGTAGAAGGAAAAGAGAAGAGGGCCTAGGACAGAACTTTAGGGAACACCCACAGTTAGGGAGTGTAATATGAATAGTGAACCAGCAAAGGAGGCTAAGAGAGTAGTTTGACAGGTAGGAGCAGAATTGGGAAATATTGGTATCGCAGAAACTCAAAGAGGAGAGACTATCCAGGAGGGAATAACCAACAATGTCAAATGCAGCAGATGAATTGAGAAGGATTTAGAACTGAGAAAAGGACATCATATTTGGCAATTAAGAGATTGTTAGTAACTTGGGAGAGAAGTGTTTAAATTTAGTAATGTGATTGAGAAGGACTGAGGGAGAGGAAGGGAGATAGAGACAGCAAGGATGGACAGTTTTTTCAAGGATTTTGTCTGAGAAAGAGAAGGGAGATAACAAGATAATAGCTTGAAGGAGACAGGGAAGAGTTGGGCATTAGGAAGAGGGAGGAAGAGAGTGATTAAGGATGTAGTCGGCTGGAGAGGGAAGGAGTGGGATTAAGGAGACATGAGGGTAGAGTTGGCCTTGGTAAGAAGAAGGAACATCCTCTGTCAGAGATTAGGGGAAAGGAGAAGAGAGTGGAAGATGATAGCAAGGTGTTTTGATAGAAGACAGAGGGAGAAGAGTTAATTTCAGATGATCTCACTTTTCTTGGTAAAGTGAGAGTCAAGGTCCTGGATGGGCCAGTGGGGGGCAGTAAAAGGGGAAAGAGGGAAGAGAGAGAGGGAGAGAGAGAGAGAGAGAGCAGGAGAAGGTGTGGGTGAAAGTTGAGGAAGGAACAAAGGGTTTAGAACAGTTTCTGTGGGGAGTGAAATAGGGAATCAATCGTGAAGCAGTAAAAGGACTCTCTTGCTAAAGTGAGGGCCCAGTCAGCATGGTTGTGGGACTTCAACTTTGTCCAGTAATCAAGGAGGTAGATCCAGGGCTGAGGTTCAGCTAGAGATAAGGGAAAGGGAAAGAGATTTAGAAGCAGAGGGTAAAGCAGAGTGTAGAGGTAAAACAGTTAATTATTGGGTTGAGATAAGAGAAGGAAGAAAGAGATGTCCAAATGGGGATAATGGCCGCAGAAAGTACTGAGGGTTAGAAGGAAGTCTTGGTGAGGATGAAAAATAGGGTTTAGGAGGAGTGAGACATAGGGAGAGGTGGAATGATAAGAGGTTGTGGTCAGCTAAGGCAATGTCTGAGTTTTAATTAGAGAAGAGAGCAATTATGGGTAATGGTGAGATCTATTGTGTGATGCACCTATGGCTGAGGTGAAGGAATAGGTCATGCCATTTAAGGAGACGGAAGAATTGAGGAGTTAAGGAACTTGAAAAAGTATCTTTGTGGATATTCAGGTCCCCTAGTATAAGGCCAGGAATTGAGGAGGAGAGGTATATGTTCATCCAGGAGAAGGGAGAATGACCTGGGGGTTGATTTTCCACTCCCACTATGATTTGAATTGGGTAGAAAATTTTGATTGTGTAGACTTAAAGGAGTAAAGGGAAGAGTATGTCTAGTCCCTTTCTGGGAGACCAGGTTGACAGACATATGAGAGAAAGTGCAGACAGTGCTAGAGAGGCTAGTTGCGTGAAGATTTCTTCCCATCCCCTTCCTTTGCCTAATTTCTCTTCCTTCTTTTCTGCCCTGCCAAAGATATGAAACACAAAAAGAAAGATCCCATATATAATAAAATTTTCATAACAGCATTCTTTGAGGTAACAAAAAAACTGGAAACAAAGTACATACCCATTAATGAGTCAAAGTCTGAACAAATTGTGATATATAAAATGTAATGTAATTACCGCCTCTATGCTGATGATTCTCAGATCTACCTAACCAGCCTAACCTACCTTTCTGCTGACCTCTAGTCTCATATCTCCAACTGCCTTTCATAAATCTTGAACCGGATATCCAGTGGGCATCTTAAACTCAATATGAGCTGTACTCACTATCTTTACCCCAACCCCTCCCTACCTCCTTTCACTGTTATTATCCTCCCAGTCACCAAGGCTTTCGACGCAAAATCTAGTTTGAATCCAAACTTCACAGAACGGATCCCCTTAATTAAAGGGTTTGTTCTGTAAAGCTTGAACTCAGTCAAAAGGCCTCACCCAAGGGCCTGGAAGGCCACATGTGCCACAGGTTCCCTGCTCCTGATAGATGTTGTATGTCATCCTAGACTCTTCACTATCTCTCATATCCAATCTATTGTCAAGGCCTATCAATTTCACCTTTGTAACATCCCTCAAATATTCCCCCTTCTCTTCTCTGACACTGCCACCACTCTGGTGCAGGCCCTTTCACCTCACCCCTCAACTATTGCAATAGCCTGTTGGTGGGTCCACCTGCCGCAAGGCTCTCCCCTCTCTAGTCCATCTACCTACCACTCAGCCAGCAAAGTGATCTTTCCAAAGACTCAGGTCTTACCATGTTATACCACCCCTCCACCCTTTCAATAAACTCCAGTGGCTTTCTGTCATCTATTAGATATGATAATAATAACAATAATAATAATAGCAATAATAATAATGATAATATGTCTACTATATGCCAGGCAATATGCTAAGGGCATTATAGATATCTCATTTGATTCTCACAACAACTCTGGGAGATAAGTGCTGTTATTATCCCCATTTTATGTCTGAGGAAATTGAAGCAAACAAGATACTCTGTCTCTCATCTCTAGCCATTTTCTCTGGCTGTCCCCTCTATCATTATTATTATTAAATATTTAACTGAATTTTTGACTAATGAATTATTATCAATAATAATCGATTGATTATATTGCTTTAAGAAACAAATATGAGGAATTCAGAGAAATATGGGAGGACTTATTTGAACTGTTCAAAGTGAAGAAAATAGAACCAAGAAAATGTACAGAAAAGCAGTAATAATATAAGCAGAAGCAATGCTAAAGTGGTACTCAGGTTAATTGCAGCGGTCATTCTTGGTCCCAGATAAGAGAGAGTGAAAAATGTTTTTTTGTTTGTTTGTTTGTTTTTTCAGTGGAAAGAGCGGGGACTTCAAGTGTAGAATGTTGAATATACCTTTGGATACGTTTGTTTGGTCTGCTTTGATTTTTTTTCTTTGTTACAGGGGAGGAGTGATTACATTGTAAGAAAACAAAAGGCATCAATAAAATTTTAAAAAGAATGCTTCTTGAGTCTTCTTCTGTTACTTAAATATCTGGTATAGTTGATATCTAATCCTTTCCTGGAGGAATTTTAATAAGGAGATCACACATATGCAAAGGTGTAGAAGACATCATGATCTTTTAAGACTTAGAATAACTGTCACTCTAATGTAAATGTATAACAGCCTTCCTTTTATGTATATCAATATCAGAGGAACATTTCTAATGCCACATTACTCTTGTGACACATAAGTAACATTTCTGATATTTAGTACCTACAGATGAATATAGTATAATCAGCCTTATCATCTATCCGTTTTTAATTTGGGTCCATTTTTCTCTTGTAGTCTAGTCTACTTTTCCTACCTTGTAGTATTTGTATGTACATGAATTACCAACTAATTTTCATATCATCCTAAGCAAAGCATAAATAGGAAGATGAATATGTCCTTGTGCAAATATATTTTAAAACCAAATATCAATTGATTTTGCTTTGTCTTTAGTGGTAGATTAGCCATATATTTTTTCTTACGGAATAGATAATCAAGAATCGAATTAATGGTAGAATCAGGAAGCAAAAAAATACTGATGTTCATGAATTTTAAATTTAAAGTTAAAATTTAGCATTGAACTATTTTTTCTCCTTGATTTTTGTCTAGATGTCCCTGGTAGATTTGGGAAAGAAGCTTTTAGAAGCAGCACGAGCAGGTCAAGATGATGAAGTTCGAATTTTGATGGCAAATGGAGCTCCTTTTACTACAGATTGGGTAAATAAAAGTTAAAAAAAATTTTTCAAATCTTGTGTGAATTTTACTTTCATTTATTTTTAAATAGCAATTTATCAATTTGATTAATTGACTTAAATTATAAAGTTATTAATAAATCATTAAATTCACCATCAAAGAAATGTATGATAGAAAAAGATTGGGCTGGTTATGAACATAAGGCAAAAGCAAGAGATAGCATTAGTATTACTCTGACATTAATTAATTAGTATTACTCTAAACATTAATTACTCTGACAATTTGGAGAGCTATTGAGGAAAGGAGAGCTCATCCCATTAGATCCCATTCTCCTTCTCAACCCCATCACCCCCAAATGTAGGATGACAGGATGGATTATGATTTCTTTTGTTGGAAAAAACTTCCACATGAGATCACAGATCCATTTGAATATTCATAAAGTTAAAAGTTAATCATTTTTCAGTTGGAGCAATTTTACAAATTAACTTGCATAATTTTATCATTATGACTATCTGTTAGAATTTGAGCATATGGAGTCATGAGCAATTAGATTATGTTACTGGAATAGCCTGTTTGTCTAAAGATTTTTCTTTTAAATTTTTAAGGCTGTCCTCAACTTTTTTATTTTGCTATTTTGTGGATTAGTACCACTTGTGATCTTCTGTCATCCTCCTCCATGTGAGCTTATATGTACTCTAAATTGGTGTTGGCTTTGGTTGCCATGTTTCTCTCACAGATTCACCTAAAGTATCACCTCCAGTTTGCACCCTTTAAATTTTGCCTGTGTTAATAAACTAATAAATTTTTGCTATATTAAAACCTCATACTGAACTTTATTAAATAAGTAGGGATTTATGGAATAGAAGTCAGGATTGTTTCTGGCTCTCTTACTGACTGTGAAATCATGGGCTAGACAGGTAATCTTTCTCAGCCTTAGTTTTTTTCTTTGTAAAATGAGGTTATTGGCACCCTGTACCAAGATAAGGTTGAGATGGGTACATGATTTAGACATAAAGGGTGATGATACCATAAACAAATTAGGAGAGCTAGGAATAGGGCTACCTGTCAGATGTGTGGAGTAGGGAAGAATTTATGAACAAACGAGATAGAGAACATTATGAAATGAATAATTTTGATTACATTAAATTAAAAAATTTTTGCACAAACAAAACCAATGCAACCAAGATTAGCAGGAAAGCAGAAAGCTGGAAAACAATTTTTACAAGCCAGTGTTTCTGATAAAGGCCTCATTTCTCAAATATGTAGAGAACTAAGTCAAATTTATAAGAATACAAGTCATTCCCCAGTTGATAAATGGTCAAAGGATATGAACATGAAGAAATTAAAGCTATCTATAATCATATGAAAAAATGCTCTAAAGCACTATTGATTAGAGAAATACAAATCAAAAAATCTCTGAGGTACCACATCGCACCTATCATGTTGGCTAACATGACAAAACAGGAAAATGATAAATGCTGGAAAAGACATGAGAAAATTGGAACACTAATGCATTGTTGGTGGAGTTGTGAACTGATCCAACTGTTCTGGAGAGTAATTTGGAACTATGCCCAAAGGGCTATAAAAATGTGCATACTCTTTGATCCAGTAATACCACTACTGGGTCTGTATCCCAAAGAGATCATAAAAAAGGGAAAAGTACCTATATGTATAAAAATATTTATAGCAGCTCTTTTTTGTGGTGACAAAGAAGAAATTGAGGGAATACCCATCAAGTGGGGAATGACTGAATAAGTTGTGATCTATGAATGTAATGGAATACTATTGTTCTATAAGAAATGATGAGCAGATGGATTTCAGAAAAACCTGGAAAGACTTACGTGAATGATGCTCAGTGAAGTGAGTAGAACCAGGAGAACATTATACATAGTGACAGCAACATTGTGCAATGACCAACTATGATAGACTTATCTCTTCTCAGCAATACAGTGATCCAAGACAATTCCAAAAGACTCGTGATAGAAAATACTATCCAAATCCAGAGAAACAACTATGGAGTCTGAATGCAGATCAAAACATACTATTTTCACTTCTTTTTTTTTTGTTTTTTTGGTTCTCATGGTTTTTCTTTTTTGTTCTGATTTCTTCTTTCACAATATGACCAATGTGGAAATATGTTTAACATGATTCTACATGTATAACTATGTCAGATTGCTTGCTGTCTTGGGAAAGGGTAAAAGAAGGGAGGGAAGGAAAAAAATTTGGAACTGAAAATCTTGCAAAATGAATATTTAAAAACTATCTTTACATGTAATTGGGAAAAATACTATTAAGTTGAAAAAATGAGGATATTGGTTATTGAATTTTTTTACAGGATAGGGATATTTTAAGGATAAGTAAGATGTCTACAAAAGTGTTATGAGTTCCTATTAAGAAAGTTATAATTTAATATAAAATAGATATATGATGTATAGTAATAAATCAGAGTTTAAATATTACATTTATTTTGAATTTTAGTTGGGTACCTCTCCACTTCATCTAGCAGCACAATATGGGCACTATTCAACCACAGAAGTATTACTCCGAGCTGGTGTAAGCCGAGATGCCAGAACTAAAGTGGACCGAACTCCATTACATATGGCAGCATCTGAAGGCCATGCAAGCATTGTAGAAGTTTTACTTAAGGTTTGTCTTTTATTTCCAGACTTTGAAAGTAAACCTAAACCTATAATAATAATAGCTTGTGGAAAGAAAAACTGCCTGTTACAGTTTACCTTTTCTGGAAGAATTATCTCTCCTGGGTTCTTAGGTTCTTGAGCTTCCTCCTAATGGAGCTCTGAAAAGTAGTGTTTTCTGATTAAAAAAGAAAAGATCAATAAAAACTTATTTTTTAAAATCACTTTAGTTTACCCCAGTTCCTTTCTTTCTCCCTCCCAAAGAGCCATCCCATGTAAGAGATAATATTTTTTAAAGATAAGAACAGAAAAAGAAGAGGAAAACAGGATTAACTAATCAATACTTCAGAAAAGTCTTAACAATATCTGCAACACTTGTGGACCCCCCACCTTTGCAGGAGGGTGGCTGGAAGTATCTTCTCATATCTTTCAAGCTGTGATTGTTCTTTATAGTTTTGCAGTATTCACTTTTGATTTTTTTGTGTGTATGGTTGTTCTTTCTGTTTACATTATTGTAGTCACTGTATATGTTGTTTCCTTGGCTTTGTTTACTGTGTATCAGTTCATATAAATCTTTCTGTGCTTCTCTGTATTTATCACATTCCCCATTTCTTATAGCACAGTAATATTCCATTACACTCATGCACAACAATTTTTTGAGCCATTCCCTAATCTGTGGACATCTACTTTGATTCCAGTTCTTTGCTATCACAGAAAGTGCTTCTATAAATATTTTGGAATATATGGGGACTTTCTTCCTATGAATAGCCTCCTTGGGGTATAGGCCCAGTAGTGAAATTTCTGGGTCAAAGGGTATGGAAATTTTGGTCACTTCATTTGCATAATTCCAAATTGCTTTCCAAAATGATGACTGATTCTCAGTTCTACTAGCAGTACACCAGTGTGCCTTTCTTCCTACAACCATTCCATTATTGACAATTCCCATCTTTTGTCATCATGGCCAATTTGCTGGGCATGTGGTGAAACCTCAAGGTTGTTTTGATTTACATTACTTTTATTATTAGTGATTTGGAGTATTTTTTCATGTGGTTGTTAATAGTTTACAGTACTTCTTTGGAGAACTGTTTGCTCATATCTTTTGACTACTTATCTGTTGGAGAATGACTTGATCTTAAAGATGAATATATACATATATTTAGCATTACTTTAATACTGATAATTGAAAATAACATTAAGCATGAGTAAGTTTTTTTTTTAATTTAAAGAATGAAATAATTTGCAAAGGAATTTTTCTGAGTATCTAAGAGCTTCTCAGAGAGATTCAGAGAACTGAGAAAGAGAACTTTCAGAACAGAGTTCAGAGAACTCTGAGAAAGAGTGAAATTGGGAGTGGTGGATTCAAAAATGATACTCTTTTGTCTTTGATCCTATTTTCTAAATGACTCTCCTTAAGTGACTTATCTATTACTAGTGTGTAAATTTAAAAATAAAAACAGGGATCCTAGACCTATTAGGAATATTAAAAGAGATTTGTAGGAATACTTGCAGGATTTTACTCCTTCCTGCAGTTCTCCTTTTCCTAAACTTTCATGCCCATACTGATGGATAACAGGAAAACAAAAACAGCAAAATACAACAGAATAATTCAGACTTTTTTAGGTATCAAAAGGAAAGCAGTTAGAAAAGTCAGTCTCGCTCAAGAGTAACTGACTTATAGGATGATCTGCACATTGATGAGTGAAGGCTGATTATATTTCTGTGTTGTAAATTCTTGCTCGCAGACATGTACAGTAGTTATGATTTCATCTTATATATGAACTGTATTTTATACTTTAAATAATCTATGGATTTGGAATCTTTTGTAGCATGGTGCTGATGTCAACGCAAAAGACATGCTAAAGATGACAGCACTACACTGGGCTACAGAACATAACCATCAAGAGGTGGTAGAACTTTTAATTAAATATGGTGCTGATGTCCACACACAAAGTAAATTTTGTAAAACTGCTTTGGACATTTCAATAGACAATGGAAATGAAGATCTGGCAGAAATATTACAGGTAATTTTTTTACCTTTAATTTTAAAACTTAGGGAAAAATAACTGCTTTTTAATCATGTTGTGAATTGTTAGCTTGTTACCTTTGAGATGTTTTGAATGAGGCTTTTTCCTTTCTCTCATTTCCATCTTATTTTTTCCCAAATTAATTCATTCTGTTCATTTTCTCATTATCTCAGAGTATCTAATCTTTTAATATCTAAATAAGGACTAATAAATCATTAATTTATTTGATATGAAATTGTTTCTGAGCTTTTTTAGGTCTTTCATTCCCTTGGCTGTTTCTTTTAATTCCTTTTACAATTTGGATACTGTATTTGTGTACTAATTTGAGATTTTTATAAGAGTAAGTTATGTTTATTTTAAATAAAATTAAGTAATTTCAATAGTTGGAGTAATGTTTATTCAGTGAACTAAGCATTCTATGGCATCTGGGTCCTTACTTTACCTTTATATCCCCTTCTGAGTTCTCTCATCTTCAGAAGGATTTTTGAGAGCCTTTGTCTTTCTAGGGAGAACTGGCCACTGGTGAGCCACTTTCTAGTGAGCTGCTGACCCCTTCTTTTAGTGCCAGATTGTTTTTCATCATTAAGAAGTAATTCCTCCAGATTGACATAAATTATATTCTTTAGTCATTATCTTGAACTCTTTGCTTTCTAATTTCCCTTACTCAGTTTGACTTTTTTTTATTTTAATGCTGACTTGTGACTCTATTGTTTTTCTAGCAGTTACTTAAAAGGTTCTTTGTTTAGGGAAACTAGGATATTCTGGTACTCAACTTTTACTTCTAGGTATGAGAATTAAGAGGTTGAAGACCAGGTTAGGTGAGGAGAGCATTTTATTCAATGACCTATGGGGTGCTTAAAAGCAGTACCAGAAATAAGGTATGAATCAAAATTCTGTAACAACTGGGCCTGCACAAGGTAGTCATGAATTTCTTAATGTCTCACAAATCTCTATTCTGTATTGGTGACCATGTCAGACATTGTTCTTAACCACTCTCTCCTCTCTCAATATTTTGCTGCTTTACCTAACAAGCAGGCTGCGGTTGAGATTCAAACATATCATACTCAGTAGACCCCTAAGCAAATTTGTTAAAGACAGTTTCTTTAAGGAAAGTTTCTGGGTTACACTGAAGGCCTGTGCTATTCTGACTGTTATCTAAAAATCTATTGTGGTACCTTCTCTAGATTGCAATGCAGAACCAAATAAATACAAACCCAGAGAGCCCTGATACTGTGACGATCCATGCGGCAACACCACAGTTTATCATTGGACCTGGAGGGGTGGTGAACCTAACAGGTCTGGTATCCTCAGAAAATTCATCCAAGGCAACAGGTATTGAGATGCATGTAGGGTAGCTGTTGGGATTTTGTGCTTTAGTAGGTATTCACCATTTTAAGGAAGAACTGTTGGAGAATAAGGGTAAGATCATAGTAGATGCATTTTCCTTCTTTGGTTTGTTTGGCATATGACAAATGTTTGGACACATAAAATAATCTAAAGAAAGATGGTATTGGACAAAGCACTAATATTTTAGTTTTCAAAAAAAACTTTTCCCCTTTTGATCCAAAAGGAGTGAGTAGCTCAAAGCTGTACATTTGATTAAAGTTTTTTAGAACTAATGTACCCTATTTTTTATCCCCTTTAATAGATGAAACGGGAGTGTCCGCTGTTCAGTTTGGAAACTCATCTACATCAGTATTAGCTACATTAGCTGCTTTAGCTGAAGCTTCTGCTCCATTGTCCAATTCTTCAGAAACCCCAGGTTAGAAAAACAAGTTTTATGGTTTTAAATAAAGCAGATAAAATTCTTGGCAATTGTAGCTATACAGAACTATAACATTTGAAGAGACCAGGAAGGATTAAACCAAAACCATGAAAGATAAAAGAGTGATTGTCTAGTAGTTGTTGATGTTGTTGTTTTTGTGAGCGGGGAGTGTACATTTCAGACATATGATATCATCAGTGTAAGAACTCCCAGTGAGGAAATGCCCTCTCCCAATGTGGATCAGTAACTATTCTGCAACTCAGAGTTCCCTGAACACTTGAGAGGTTAATTGTCTTGTCCAGGATCATATATCCAGTTAATGTCAGAGGAGGGATTTGAACCCATGTCTCCTTGAGCTTGAGGCCTGTTCTTTATCTATTATATCAGACTACTCTCTGTCCTTTTCTTAAAGATAGAAAATAGTAAGTTATTCTACTATTTATAATAACTGTTAGAGTCAAGATATTCCATTTAAGTTCTGCTCTAGTGCCTCATCATGATGTGCTTATCATTACTTCTTGAAGGCTTTACCAAGGGAACACAAACAATATGTATTCGTCTTTCTCCTGGGGACTAGCGCTAGCTAAATTTGGGAGGCTCATCATCAGAAGGGTGGCCAACACATGATGAATTGTTTTTAGCCTCAACGACACATGAAGACTACTGTGGTGTAGACAGGGTTGCTATCCACGGTGCTAGGGTGCTAGGGTACGTTACTTAGGTGCTGTGGTGAATATAAAAGCCAATGAAATAATGAGCCCTTGACCTTTGAAGTACAGGTATAGCCATGATATTTTCTTTTATGTTTAACCTACTAAATACTTTTAAGCCCATTTACTCTTTCAAAAAAAATGTTTTATTTGTGTCTTTTGTCCTTCCATTACAGAAAAAGGGGGAAAGACAACCCTTATCCTCCTTTCCAATATGAACTCCTCTTGGACAAAGAAAAACAATTTAGCAAAAGCACCCAGCGCAGGGATTGTATCTGACAAAGTATACAGCATTCTATCTTAGTAAATGCTTCTCCTTCTGCCGTGCAGAGGGAGACATGTTTCATTATTTGTTTTCAAGGACCGTCTTTGGTTTTTCATTTACCTTGAGTTTAGTTTCCTTTTATTGATCTTTTAATTTACAGTGTTATAGTCATTATACATATTTTCACTTGGCTCTCTTTATTTCACTTAGTTATTAAGTACTTATTGATTGACTATGTATTTGAATGTGGGTTTCCAACTAATACCATAAAATCACCTCTCTACAGGATGGAAAATTAATATAACCCTAAAGAATAAAGCAGTCACTTCTTAAATAATCCACAAAAGAGAAGCCATAGTTTATTGTTGTTCTGCGAAACTATAAAAAATAAGTGAATTTGTAGCCACCAGATATTGTCTTCTTTAATTATTTTAGATTAATTATTTTAAAAAAACTTTTGGATTGTACAACATGCGAACGTTATGATGGTTCTGTTGCTGACTTATCAAATGGAGTTGATTCTCTAACCTAGGTTCTGGTGGTTACTGAGTGAAGGGACCCAAAACAGTGGAAAACTTGTAGAGAATCTATAAGTAAATAATGCAGATAGTTAAGGCATTGGAATATGCGAGTGAAGACAAAATGATGAATGGAGATAGAGTGTGATTGACGAAAGAACAAGAAACATTTTTCTACAATTATAGTGCAACATAATTTTAAAACTTAATTTAATACAGAGAATAAAGCACTGAGTGAGTGAAGAGGAACAGTTTATTAACTTTTGTGTATGTGAAAAGAATCTGTGTAGGTGGCAGTAAATGGCAGTATTCCGTCAAAAGGACAAAATAGAGCATCCATAATTTGTGGTTGAATTTTGAATGAGAAATTAAAAAGTACCCATTAACTGTAAGACTTGTAAGGTACAAGAACACATTCATCTAGGGAGCATATAAGTCAAACAATGTAGATCAAGGAAAATTCAGTTCAACAGTATAAAATTTAAACACTGAAGTTATAGTCAAAGAATACTACAGAAAAAAATATTTAAAATTCTGCATCCTTAAAGTGATTTTTAAAAATAGGATTTTATTGTTGTCTTGTGTTTCTTATATCTTCATAGTTATCTTAAGTATCCCTCCCCCTCCCTCTCATAGAGAGCCATCCTGTATAAAGAATAGTATTCTTTAAAGAGGACAAAAATTAGCACAACTTTCAGTGTATCCCTGTATAACACTTGTGGGCCTCTCACTTCCAGGAAGGGATGGAGCTGAGGGTGTCCTCTTGTGTTTTGTCATTGGAGTCCTGCTTGGTCTTTATAATTTTGTTACATTCACTTTTGAATTTTTGATGTGTCATTCTTTCCATTTTCATTGTTGGAGTTACTGGTGTGTATTGTTTTCTTGGCTGTGCTTACTTTGCTCTGCAAGTTCATGTTGATCTTTCCCTGCTTCTATTTATTCATCATGCACATCATTTCTTACAGCATGGTAATATTCCATTACATTCATGTTCCAAATTTGTTTAGCCATTCCTCAGTTGATGGACATCTACTTTGTTTCCAATTCATGGCTATGACAAAAAGTGCTGCTATAAATATTTGGTGTATTAAATAATTTATCAATGACAAGACATATTTATTCTAGGAACAGAGAAGATTAGGTCAGTTTGGAAAGGCACATGCCCTCAATCTGGACAGAGCTCTGTCTGTTTAATTACTTTGAGCAGTTTCTTTTTATTACTTACTTTTTCTCCTCCATTAAGTCTGTTCTGTATATGTGTAAATTGTATCGTTTTAGGTAGAAAGTGCTCTTCATTCTGTGTTCAGTTGTGTGATACTATATGACCTTCCATATCAAGTTTAATATGAGCTTTCTTTGCCCACTTTTGTTTTTATTTTTACATTTCTTCCTGTGAAGTATAATTTGTTGGGGTTTAAAATTATCTGTGTGAAAATCTGACCTACATTTTTATTACTCATCAGAACATACATAACATTTTTTCTCCATATTTGTGACTTTAGTTAGTTAAGTATTGATGGAAGAGTGGGCCTATAGGTGAGTAGTTAATGATGTTCTCTCAGGCACATTTTTCAGTATTAATAAGGTCCTAGATTTTTTTCTCCTTCTTTTAATATCTTACCTTTCTTCAAATACCTTGTTCATTAAATACCTTGTATATGTAAATACCTGACTCTTTTAATGCCTTATATTTCTCAAAGAAGTCTTCCCAATTAGATCATACTCACCCCAGAGCTCTCTCTCTCTCACTGTCTCTCCTTCCATTTGTGTGTGTGTGTGTGTGTGTGTGTGTGTCTACTTGTACTCTATCTAATGTGGTTGCTTTTCTCATCTTTGTTCTCTTTAGTGACATTTCTACTGCTTCTGTAAACATATCCCAGGATTGTGATATTAGGTCCAAGTGTGGTGGTTCCTCCATCCTTGCTTTAAAAAACATTTTGTTAAAAATTGTTTTTGAAAATCTTTTCTTTTTTCCTTGTTTGTAGTCCTGTTTTCATTTTTAAATGCTCTTGAGAAGACTTTACTTAGTTGGATAACTTGCCAAGTTTTCTTTAAACTTGTTTTGCTTTCTACTCCTTCCCTCTGCTTTAGGAAAAGATACTAGTTCATATTCTTCTGTCATCCTTCTTCAAAAAAATTTTTTAAACAAGTTTATATTCTAACCCATTGTTGCTTTGGGAAACCCTCTCTCTCCAGTTGTCAAGTAGATCAAATGTCTCCTGAGTAAGACCCTTTTTAGCCTCTTTTGGTCTTTTTGTAGTGCCAATTAATTTACATTAGTTAAACTTCTAAATGAAATTATTATAGTCAGTATCAATGTCATGTCTTCTTTTTTGATTTTTTTAATTACATGTTTAAATAATTCAGGGTTAAGTCATTTCAGTTGTATGCCATTGTCTTTATATCATTATTCTCATTTTTTTTTTCACTAATTCTGATCTTCACTCTATTGAGTTGATGGTCTGAATTGGACCTAAACAGCTGGGTTCAGGAATGGCTCCCACATCAGTGACAAATCTTTTCCTGTCAGTTTCAGGATTTTCACCATGTCTAGTGCCTACCAATTTTTATTTTTTTTTAAAGAAAGTGTTCATAGTAGTGTGAGGTAACTGTGTAATCTATCGGCAGTTTTTTCTCTTATTCTTCTTGAGTCATGTTTTCCCATATAATTCCCACCAGCTTCACCTTTTCTCACATTTTCTTTGAAATCAAGTACCAGAGTGTATGTCGATTTAATTTTAAAGGGTCTTATTAAATTCTTTGTAGAATTTCTCTCATACTACTTCATCCTCATTGACCTTTGATGGTATGTAAACTGCAGTTATTTTCATGGTTGTCTTTTTTGCAAATACTTTCCATTAGGTACTGTAATATGTGATGACAAGATATCCCACAAAAAAAATTTTTTTTCTTCTTTTCTGTTGGTGAACAATAAAACCCAACCTACCAACTCCTTTCTTTGCTTCTCCATAACTGTGAGCTCTTCTACTTAGCTACAGCTTCCTTCTTATGATTTACTTAATAGCAAGAATATCAAGATTGTATGGTCTTCAGCAAAACAGTAGTTATTGGATCTCACATTTAGAATATCAGTTGTCAAATAGGTGGCACAATGGATAGAGTGCTGGACCTGGAATCAAGAAGACTTATCTTTGTGAGTTCAAATCCGGCCTCAGACACTTACTAGCTGTGTGACTCTGGGCAAGTCACTTAATGCTGTTTGCCTCAGTTTCCTCATATGCAGATAGATAGATAGATAGATAGATAGATAGATAGATGAGCTGGAGAAGGAAATGGCTAATCTCAAATCATTCCAGTATCTTTGCCAAGAAAATCCCAAATGGGGTCAAATTGAAGTTTGATGGTCTAAAAAACTGTGTGTTTTCTTAGCACTCTATGTTCCCTTTCCTACTACTCTGCTACTGGCACTGTAGGAAAGGGAGCTGCCCAGGGCCTTTTTTTTTGTTTGTTTGTTTGTTTTTGTTTTCTGCATTTCTATGACCA